CGCGCGCAGATCCGCTCCGGAGGGGTCCGCAGGGACGGCGGCCTGGAGCCCGCCGCGCCGCCGCGCCGGCCTCGCGCTGGAGATCGGGCTCCTGCTGAGCCAGGAGCAGCCGGAAACTTGCGCGCAGCTTGATGTGATGACTTCACTGGGTTTTGTTTTGAAATACTTAAAAAAAAAACGAAGAGGAAGAAGAGGAGGAGGAGGAAGGGGGAGGAGGAGATGAGGACGAGGTGGTGGGAGGCTTAGAGCCGGGAAGATCGGCCAAACGTTCAGCTTCGAGGCCGAGTGATGGGCGGGGGGGGGATGGTCGTCGTGCGTGCGTGTGTTACGAAAGGTCCGTACGTTATTTTTCAAAGGAACGACTGCATGGCAGTGTACACACGGGGCAGGCCGGCCAGCGCGGAGATCAGCCTAGCTGCGATGAACATAGGGGGCATGGGCTAGAGCCGGAGGGATGCGGAGAAGCGTTGAGACCCCTTGGAGGATACAGCTCTCAGGCGCTGCTGATGGATGTGCGTGTAAGGGAAAGTGCACGGCGGTGACCCTGGCGAGTCTTGTGGGGCGGGGGCAGGTGCTGTTTGTTCGTTTGTGTGTGCTGGGAGTGAGAAACCCAAGGCCTCACGCGCCAGGTGCGCACTGCACGGCCGATCTAGATCAACACCCCCAGCGCTGGCCTTGAGGGTTTCCATGGGAGCTCGGGAGAATGAAGCTGGCATTTGCTGAGATTGGGAAAGAACAAACTAGAGGGGAGGAGGTTTTGAACTCGGATTTAGGCGTGGTAAATTTGAGGTTTCCGTCAGACGTCCACATGAGGTCTAGGCCAGTAGGTGTGCGTCTGGGATGGACGTAAATTGGGTGGCTGTGGACATGTAGGTGCTGTGCAAACTCAGACTGCTTGAGCTCAACTAGGGCAAAGGAGCTGACCAAGAACTGAGCCCTGGGACACTCTGACATTAAGAACGTACGGTAAGGTGATTGAGCGCAGGAAACAGGAAGCAGCCTGTGCGATCGGAAGAGACCCCGCAGAGTATCGTGGTGCGCTAGTGAGCTGGCCCAGAAAAGGACTTTAGCGTGCGTCCATCTGAGCTGGCTTCTGTGCATCGCAGAGCCGTCCTCGATCCGCCATGTGCAAACACACATAATAAGTTACTTCTCTATAACTGGTTTTCTTCAGGACCATAACAAAACTCCCTAATTTATAAATTTGTTATAAAAACCAAAAAGATTTTGCATAAACATAGAGCACCTAAGAGTATAATGGAAGCACTTTTAGTACGTGTTCGTTGCTATTATTATTTTTATTTATTTTTTCCCGCTATACCTGGCTCAACTAGGAGTTGAGGGGGGAGTGTCAAGAAAATAACAAAGGTTTGACCACATTTTTTTGTTTTGGTCTTTCTGCAACAGGGTCTCTCTCTACAGTTAAGACTGGCCTTGAGTGACCACGTCTTTGGTTTTACTTGCTTTGCATGCAAACTGAACGAATAGGGCTGGCAGATCGACCATTTCGGGAGCTCTCTTCTCACCCAAAATAATGTATGTCCAAATAGTAAAAGCGGAAGATGTGTCAGTCTGACCAGAACGCACATACTTCAGCCCCTGGCCCCTCTCACGCACTCGTCTGAGTTGGTTTTGTCTGTCACGGTTTTCTGCGACCTAAGGGCTCCATTTCTGCTAGCGCGCTAATGTCTGCTCAGCCTTATTTTTCTCCACTCCTCCCCCCCATTTGTAGCCTTCACAAATGAACTGGAAACGGTACCTTTTTACCCATATACAGCTCAACCTTGCTAAGAGTTAAATGCCTGCCCACAAGTTTTAGTATACTAGCGTGGTGGCACCTGGTAGCTTTGAAGACCGTACACATTCCTGTTCCATTTCTCTGTGCCAACCCCATTTTCTCCGACAAGATGAAGAGCCGAACCTGCAACTTACACTGAAATCTAGATGAAGCTTAGCTTTCATCAGTGCCTTCATCTAAGGATCTTGAAAGAACTGGGAAATGTTCATTAATCCGCACTGAGCCTTTGTCGTGTTTTGGAAAGACAGTGAGGGAAGGGTTGGCTTTCAGATGCAAGCAGACCTGCATAAGAAGCACTTTCTGAGGGCAGAGGTTCTGTTTTCATCTTTAAGTGAGCCAAGTAACTTCACAAAACTGGCCCTTGGCCAGATGCAGTCTGCACACTTAACCCTGCCTCTCCATTTGCAAGAAAGGATGAACGCAAATCCAGCAATACTTAGAAGTTGGAGTTTGTCCTCGGATTGTGGGTTTCCCCATCTTAGGAGCAGTGATTCAAGGCCACCTACAAATTCTTACTTCCTTTTGCCTCAGTGAGAGAATTTACTGCACATGCAGAGAGGTCTGATCTCTCCCAGCTCAAGGTTTTTTTTCTTTTGTTTTGGTTTGGTTTTTTTTCCAGTACCAGGAATCGAACTCACGACCTTGCACTTGCCAGGCAGGCGCTGTGCCGCTGAGCTAAATCCCCAGCCCTCCCTGCTCTAGTGTTTAGCTCTACCTAAATCTATTTTTTTTAATGTGCTAGAAATCAAACCCAGCATGCTAGGCAAGTGCTCTTCCAGTAAGGTATATCCTCAGCCCTTGACTTTCTTCACATGAATCCTTTACCCTAGCAGAGGAACAAGATCTTACAAAGCACATCTGTGTGTCATGTTGTTGAAATAGCACAATTCTTAGACACATAATCTAAAATAAGCTAAACCATGATCTAAAGCTAATGTAAGTGACCAGCATGTATCATTTGTGAAGAAGATGAAACTACACAGAAACAAGCCTAAGTCCGTGACAGTAGCTGGTGGTAAAATTATTTAGGCTGAGTTGAAATTTGTTGCAATAGAACTAATGACATGAAAGACACAAACATCTAATGGCAGAAATTTGGGGGCTGAAAATCACTCCAATAAAGACTTCACTGGAGAATATAAACCTGTTAGATCCTGTATATGCAATTCTTCCCAGTGTGAAGAAGGGAAGTGTGAAAGAATCACTCATTAAAAAATAGATATGCAGGGCAGGAGGGCTGTACATCTACAGTCCCAGCTACTAAGGAGGCTGTGGCAGGAGGGTCGCTTGAGCTCAAGAATTGGAGGCCAGCTTGGGAAGCATAGCAAGACACCTGTCTCTAAAAAATAAAAGTAAAATCTAAAGAAGATGGAGACATTCTAAAAAGTCTTATTCTCTGTCTACAGAGTTAGCCCATAATGCATTTCTTAAGTAGGTTTTTGCTTTTATACTTTTGATTTGAAATTGGCTTACAATACATATTTTGATGTATTTCAAAATATTCTTTGGAGACATTAGCAAATGGTTTTGTCAACTCAGTACGGTGTTTTTTACAAGCTTTGTGTTGTCAAGTGGGGTGATATGAGGCTTCAGTTGCAGACCCATAGAAAATCACTGTTGGAAGGAGTTCTTTGTTTCTTTGAGTTCCCTTTACAAGTGTTTGCTTCCTTGTTTTTATAGCCAGTAAGAACCAGCTTTGCTTGTGGCACAATATACCTGCTCATAACCCCATAACTGAGGGTCCCAGTGAAATGGAAGCAAATTGTTTGCTGTGAAATTTAATTGAAAAATCTGTTTGAATTAGTATAGGAAATATCCCAAAGTAGGTTTTCACACGAATATGTATCAGGTAAGCAGTTTCTGTGCTTTTTTAAGAAAAGGAAATCTACTTAGTCTATTTTTACTTGTACATAGTTACATGGGATCTACTTATGTAGTCTGGTGATAGAATACCTCGCTGCAGAATTATCTCAAACTAAACATCTTCCTGCACAGTCAGCAGTACTGGGAGGGGGTCACATAAGTAGACATTCTTGATAAATTCTGAAAAGCGTTATTAGTTTATTATTTATCTCAAATTTTGCATATACCCAAAACATCTATCCACAGTTTCTGTTTGTCCATCAGAGCAGAGTGTTCATAGCCGAGACCCTGAGCAAAATTGTGCAGTAAGTTTGTTTTGGTTTTCTCCTTTTCCCCTCTTTTTTCCCCGTGAGCACCAACGCATCTCTCACTCCTAGTCCCTAGGCATTTGTAGGTCTCCGGAGTCCTCTTTCCATCCCTACCAAAACAGAAATGATCTGATGGCAGTTAACAATGGTTAGTGGATTATGCTTCAATATAAATGGCTTTTACACGTGGGGTAACTTCATATTGATATTATACCAGCTAAGTAGTATCTTTATACTGGGTTGACTAGTCTCTTTACTCCTAGGATGAATTCCAGTGCCTTCTCTCTTATTTTATTTTATTTTATTTTATTTTATTTTATTTTTTTGGTTTTTCTCCGGTACCGGGAACCAAACTCACGACCTTGCGCTTGCCAGGCAGGCGCTTTGCCACTCAGCTAAATCCCCAGCCCCTTCTCTCTTATTTTAATCACAAGATTATTGATGATCAGTTGTGATTGAAATGCCATTTTCATTCACAGCAGTAGTGTATTACTGTATAACACTGTGAACGGAGTGTTCTGCCTTGCTAAGGGACAGTTCTAGGTAGCGGAGATGCAATTTATTCTTCCTAAACTCTAGACCTTTTGAGACCAAGCCTCTAGGAGTTTCTTCTATGACTTGTTCAGATTGTTCACATGATAATATAAAAAGATGTCTTAAATTTCCACATAAATCCTAAAACTTGAGTTCAACCCAAGTCTTGAAGTTATTTTTGTAAGGCTCCTTTGCCAAGAAATCCCTTCTAGTTCTTAATCTGGTTCCAGTGAGCTTCTGGATTCAGAGAAGCATGTTTAATGCAGGATATAAGTGGTTAGTCAATTCCTGAGGCATCCATAATTCTTCTTCCCTTTCCTTGTTAAGATCTTGGTAATAATCCAACCCAAGAAATAGAATTGACTCCAGGCTGCATATGTATGAGAGCTATTCTTCAATGAACTAAAAATGAACCTGAGCTGCCATTTTGAAGTCTTTGTTGAAAGCCAACTAAAATTAAAACATGAGGAAAATATTCCTAGTCATCTTTTCTGAGGCAAACTGATTCAAGCCAATCTTAATTGAATTATACTGAGATACAGTGAATTTTTTCTTTTTTTTTTTTTGGTTTTGGTTTTTCTCCGGTACCGGGAACCGAACTCACGACCTTGCGCTTGCCAGGCAGGCGCTTTTGCCGCTGAGCTAAATCCCCAGCCCCCTACAGTGAATTTTTTCTATGAAAGATAGAAAACGGACGGACCACCACTCTTCTTTTATATTGCAGCTACCAACACCCCCACACAACACCTATATTCTCAATGCAGCTATTCTGGTTTACCAAGTATGACAAACTATAGGACTTACTTATTCATTTCATTTACTATCTGCCCTTTCCTTTGGAATGTAAGCTCCGTGAAGTCTGTTTGGTCTATCATATCCCCTGGGTCTAGCAAGGAACCTGGCACCTATTAGGCATTCATTGAATCCTGTTCAGTGAATGAACTGTGTCTTAGTCACTTCCTGATGGCTGAGATAAAATACTTGACACCCACACTTTGAAGGAGGAGAGGGTTAT